CCCCGCACCCCCACCCAAAAAAAAATTTAAGTTTGTTTTTAAAAAATATTTTCAACTTCAAAATTTTATTTTTTCACCCCAACCCTTGAACCCCCCCACCCCAAAAAAAATTTAAGTTTATTTTCAAAAAATATTTTCAATTTCAAAAATTATTTTCTACTCTAGTAAAAATAAAAGATATTTCTCAAAAATATTTTTCATTCTTAAATCAAACACTAAAAATATTTTTTACTCACCAACCAAACATGAAAAAATAAGTCAAAAATCAATTTATTTTCCAGAAAAACATTTTCTAGGAAAACATTTTCCTTCATACCAAACACACCCTTGATGGAAAACAAGTTACAACTTTATGGAAAGGCCAGATCCACACGTTCTCCATTTAAATATTTAAAGTAGGGTTTTAATGATCCATTTTAATTTTTAATAATAATTAAATTTTATGATTGGAATATGGTACGGTCAAAACCACAAAGGGCAGCGGATAGATCTGTAAAAAGCCTAGTCAGCAAATATAGCAGTAAGGGAGTTGGGGTTTTGAAAGAGTCTTAACAAAATTCATTTGTCAATTTGTAACGCCGGAGCTGAGCAGAGAGATAACATAAAAGATAAATGGAGAGCGCCGCCGTATTTGCGGGGCTTCACCCTACTCCCGGTCACCATAACCACCCTCTGGGTCCATCACGAACTGCTATTAAAATTCTTCCTCCTTCCATTGATAAAATCAATTTTTCTCCTTTGCCCCTCAAGGTTTTTTCTTCCTTCAGCCATTCATATTTCAGTTTCTCCATTGAAACTGATGCTGTTTTATGATTACTGTGTGTATGATGTTAGCTTCATGCGTGTAGTTTTGTGTAGAGTTGACTAATTCGTGTAGATTTCATTGACTTTGTGTGATGGAATTTGTATTGCAGCTTCAGAAGCAGTCGCATTTCACTTCTTATATTGATAATAGTGCCATAAACAGTGGAAATTCCTTTCGTGTGGCCTCTCCTGCAAGGTATTTTGCATTTCTTCGACTACTTTTATTTCTTTTAGATTTAGGATTCAGATGCCCTGCCCCTAACACTTTGTTTGGATCATTGTTACATTGTATTGTATTGTATGTTACCATACCTACAATGTTTGTTTTGATTGTTACTTAAAATGTATTGTATTATTAAATTTCGTTGTTACATAACAATGTAAACCCCCATTTTATGGCACAACCGATTTGGTGTGTTTTCATTGTTACTTAATTTCTTTTTCCAATTATATCCTTACATAATATTTCATAATTACCCTTTACCCTATATTTTTTAATTCTAGTCAAACCTCCTGCCCTAGAATAATCAATGATATTTTGGTAAATTTATAAATTACAATACAATATGATGCAGTCAAACCAAACAATAAAAATGTTATTAAACAACAACAAACAATATAGCTAGCGTTTGGCCATAGATTTCCAAATATTCTTGGCAAATATTATTTGGGTGAAAATTCACCATATGTTTGGCCATAATATTTGTGAAATATATTTCACTTTTTAGAAAAATATGATTTATACCCATAAGTTTTAAAACTATCAAAACTAACCATAAGTTTGTAGTACAAGTTAATTGGATCTTTGTTGCAACAAATAACAAGTAGTGTCCATGCCACTAGAGCAATGTGGTAGTTTGGAGTGAGTGCAACAAGCATAATTCCATACATCGTGAAGTAGACAAAGCACATGACTTTGTTACCTTGAGCCGATTGTTCATCATTTTCATCAACAACCATATCATCACTTTCATATTCACTGAATATTTCATCACTACTTTGGTGTTCACGTAAAAAAATTATGTAATGCAACGCAAACAACTACTATAAAGGGTGTTTTTTGTAAAAGATAAAAGTTTGGTGTAAAAATTTCAATTTTCAAAAGATCCCAAATAATGAGATTTGGCCCAAAAAACTAGAAAAAACTAGTATTTGGGAATTTGGGATATTTGCCAAAAATATTTGCCAAATAATGGCAAATTATATGGACAAACACTATTTGCCAAATTTTCCCCAAATATTATTTGGGAAATCTATGGCCAAACGGGCCCATAGTCTAGCGAAACATTGTATCTACCATACAGTAAAGTAGTAAAGTACAATAGAGTACATTATGAAACAATGGGTAACAATGATCCAAACAGAGTGTAAAGAAGTATATATATATACCAAATCATTATGCTGTATCACAACTTTGTAATGGTGGATTGTTGTAAAATACTGGAGACTAGTTGATTCTGGTGCAAGGAAATAGAAACAATATCATGTCTCGAATTGTTGATACTCAGTTATAAATTTTTGGGTCATTTAGTTACTACATCGGGAAGAACCAGGCAAAACATAGAAATTCATAGATCTTCTGTGTTCTCAAGCTGCGTTGAGGTGACTACAGCCTACATTACACAAAGACGCAACTTCTTTTTCGCCACTTTTGCCTTCTTTGATATGATTTATTTGAGAGAGAGATTGGACTCGGAATATGCCATATCACTGTAGATGTCTAAGATTATACTTTTTTGAAGGGCAGAAATGCTTAACATGTCGATCAACATTCTAAAGGACAACGTTCATGGACTGTATTTATTCACATTTATAAAGGGATATGATGTTTCCCAATCTGAGAAAACCTTCCCTCTAATGCAAGTACCACAAGAATACATTAATAGAGCTTGCTGACTTAGATAAGTCAAATGCAGTTTCCTGTGGGTTGTAAAGTTTTTAATGTACAGATAACCTATGAACTATGAAGTGGCTCTAGATCCTTTACATTGCTTGTTAATTGCTTCCCCAATAATTGATAAAAGCTCTGTTTTTATAACAGCGACGTTGCATCTGAATTAGCCGACATCGATTGGGACAACCTTGGCTTTGGCTTTATGCCTACTGATTATATGTATAGCATGAAATGCTCTCAAGGTGAAAACTTTTCTAAGGGTGAATTACAGCGTTTCGGTAATATTGAGTTGAGTCCGTCTGCTGGAATATTAAATTATGGTCAGGTTAGTTTTTCCCTTTTCTAATATGATGGTATCTGAAGAAATCTTTCTTAGTCTTAAATATATTTCTTGCTTGTTATTCATTTGAATGATTACAGTTTTACTTCATGTGTCAGACTCACTGAAAATGTTTGGAAATATTAATAGGGATTGTTTGAAGGTTTAAAAGCATATCGAAAACATGACGGCAATATATTGTTGTTTCGACCCGAGGAAAATGCAACGCGTTTGAAGATGGGTGCTGAACGTATGTGTATGCCTTCACCGTCTGTTGAACAGTTTGTGGAAGCAGTGAAAGCCACTGTTTTAGCTAATGAAAGATGGGTAATATGTCCCTTCAATCTTAATTAGAAACTATGTTATTGAGTGTCTCATACCCACTAGATTCATTTTCTTTGCTTACTTCAGATTCCTCCTCCCGGTAAAGGCTCATTATACATAAGACCTCTGCTTATGGGGAGTGGAGCTGTCCTTGGTCTTGCTCCTGCTCCTGAGTACACATTCCTGATTTATGTGTCACCTGTTGGAAATTATTTTAAGGTATTTTCTCTAAATCCCTCCCATTTTTAATTTATACTTACTAATGCTTTTATTGTATCTTCTCTTTTTAGTTCTTGCTTCTGCTAGTTTCTGCATATCATTATCCGAAGTACAGCGTGTAGACTATTAAATGTTTGAAATGTAGTTAAAATGTCTTCATTAATTTGTCAATTGTTGACTAAGGTTCACGAGAAAAGCTAGAATTATTATTTAAGAATGTATAGTATATCAGAATAATTATTTTTTATGACGATATATTAGATTAGTCATTTGAATAACTTCAACTAGCTTTGAGATCTTGAACCTGAGTGTGGTGTACTACTTATCAAAACAAAGAAAAGAAACTTGGGTGTGGTATGTAAGTCTTGACCTGATGGATTCTAGCATATAATAGGGACTGCCAATAGGAGAGTGTCTCAATAGCTGTTAGTTGGAGAGGTGAGAAACTTATCAAAAGCAATACTACCTTTTTGAGAAATTGCAAGTGTGAAAAAGTTGACTGCAAAACAATATCACAACCGAAAACACAAAATAGTTTGGTGTCCATGGTCCAGAATTTAGAAAGGACTGAATGATTGTCGATTTGTTGTTGAACATCAAAACTCAAGTGTGCATGGTATAACTTTCATGTTCATGTTTCAGACCTTTTGATAATCATATTGTATGGCAGGTCCTCCTCTCAGTTCACTCTTTTCCTTTTTTCTTTTTCCGCAGGAAGGTTTGGCACCAATTAATTTGGTAATTGAGACTGAAATGCACCGTGCAACACCTGGTGGCACTGGAGGCGTCAAGACTATTGGAAATTATGCTGCAGTAAGCTAGCCTTTTGGACCTTTAGTTTATTTAAACATTTGTTGGCAGTACGAGTTTTATTTGATGAACGCCTTAATTGAAGCCTTAGTTGCATTTTCTTCTTAGAGGTTGATGAGAATAAACATCCCTGAGTTCCCACTTGGAGCTTTGCTATCCCTTCTGTATGTCATCATCTCTTCGTATTTCACCAAGACTTATGATCAAATATTTTGCAATTAGCTTTCCCTTACACTTCTATATCGAACAAGTTTATGAAGTCATTTTCTAGAATTGTTTGAATTCTTACGTAGTTGACCTAACTAGAGTCGATCTCATTCCTTCATGCTTCTTAAGCTTTCACTCCGTGCTATTCATTCACATATATCCAAGGTGAAGAATATTATTCTAATATTTTCCTGGACATGTAAAAAGAAATGAAGGATGGTTTCATGAGAAGAAATGCTACTTGCACCCTTCACTAATTATTTGTCATATTATCCAATCTGCCATCCTTGACGCTTCCATGTTCCATCTTTGGGTTATAAATATAGGTTCTGAAGGCACAGAGTGCTGCTAAAGCAAAAGGCTATTCCGATGTTCTGTACCTTGATTGTGTTCAGAAAAAATATCTCGAAGAGGTTTCCTCTTGCAATGTCTTTATTGTGAAGGTATAAAGTTAAACCAATATTCTGTGTCCTCATTGTAAGTTATTTTTGCGTGTGGTGCCTGAACGAGAATGTGACACTGGTTTTATAGAAAGATGACAAAAGCATTTTATTTTTGAAGATGAGACAGGAATTTCCTTTCAAAACTTATCTTGCAAATAATACTTTTATGTCTTTTTATCTTATATTCTTTATGTACTGCTTATGAACATGTAGTTTTTCTGCTTTAGATAGATTTTTGTAAATTTTTAGCATTTCACTTTTCACTATCTTTTTTCATAAATCTTGATTCTTGTATTTGAAAGTTTAGCTCTTTAGTATACGTTCTTTTATAAACATAAACTTGGTATCGAAGAAAATAATGTCTTCTGATATGTGAGCTGTTATTTTGTAATCAATATTAAAAAATTTGGTAGTCTTAGAGAAGAATTTGCTTGACCGATCACCCCAAAATAATGATCTTAGATTTCTTCTGTGTGCAAAATCTTTTTCAAATATCTCAAAGATTTCACATGATTTACTATTATTTTATTCATTTGTGGTCATACATGGATACTATGAGTTATTTGAACAATCTTCTTAATATTTTTTTTGAAAGTGTAGACAAATCTTCTTGACTTAAAAATGATGCAAAACTTTCATGTTAATGAAAACAACTAACTCAATATCATGTTCACAGGGTAATCTGATAGTAACTCCTGCAATTAAAGGAACCATTCTTCCTGGAATTACGCGAAAGAGCATAATCGATGTAGCAATTAGTCAAGGATTCCAGGTACCCTGTTTGTCTTCAACATAATATGTTTGGTGCTTATGCTAATGCTGGTTTAAATTCTGTTTTTTATTTATTGATTTAGTGACTTTGATATGCAAGTTGTCCCAATCACCACCTTTATAAAAGAAATTAAGATGTTTGATAGTCATTAGGAAATGGCCATTGTGATAAAAGTTATCATGGTATTGTATTGGTATCTAAAGGTAAATTGCTCTGATTATTTTCCCTATAAATTAGGTGTGAGAGTACCATTTTATCCTTCACTGTAGTTAGCATTGATGAGCTTTTTCCAATTTCTCTTCCTCTTTCCAGGCTCTAGCTATGCACTTTCCCACCAACATCTGGTCACCATGCCGCCTCCCACCCCCAACACACACACACTGAATCTGCCTTACCATCAGTGTCTTCCTTTCATTGTGCCAGCTCTGCTCTCTCCTGATCCATCTTAGTCACCTTGCTTTTCAATCTCTGTTTGTCATCCTTCTCATCACTATTCCACTCTTCTCTGTTTTTTCTCCTGAAGCATTATTGTGCTTACAAAATAAAAACCAAATACAATCGAGGTCAGTGAAATGTATGTCAGGGAAGATTTAAATGGATAAGCATTAGAAATATTACAATTACTCCTCAATCCCAAGCAAGTTAGGTTGAATGGTATACAAGCATTAGAAATATTGAGGATTGGATATTTGAATGAAGTAAGAGACATTCACCATGGAGGGTTGATGGTTGAATATCCTTCATGGAGAACCAATGTTTGCCAGTAGAATCACTATCTCTTGTAGACTCACATCAATAAATCTACATTCAGTAAAAAAAAAAAGATGACTTGCATTAGCATCAAAACGTTTGACGGATTATTCTTATTTAAGTGGAGAAGGATAGCGAATGAGCTCATTCACCACTGAGTTTGGAACTGTTTGCCTTTGACCATTGCAGATCTCTCAGTTATTGAAAATAAATCGGTTTTTTCTACCTTGCGAGATTTAATCTGAAAACACTTGGAAGATTAGGTTCCTGCCACAATAACATTCACCTCAGGGGCGTAGGCACATGCAAGTTAGGGTGTCCAATTGGACACCCTTTGTCTGAAAAAAACCGTATATACAAGTAAAATGATACACGAAGTGATTAAATAACATATTTTGGATACCCTTGACACAATAGGTTGTTGTAGCCCAGTGGTTTTAGACCTTTTTAATGGGTTTCAAACACCTTGAATGAGTTAGTGGTCGCGTGTTCGAATCTCACTAGCAACAATTTTTTCCCATTTTAAAAAGACCTTTTGTTGTGCAATTTCTGGACATCCTTCGTGAAATTCCTGGCTCCGCCACTGATTCACCTTATCATTAAGAATCGAATTTGGGAAAAGAAAGTGATATCCACTGCTTTTTTCCTTGTAGTTGGTATAACATAATAGGTCTTTTGTGTTGCATTACTACTATTCTGAGGCCAGAATGTCAATATGTAGGTTGAGGAACGACAGGTGTCTGTGGACGAATTGCTTGATGCTGATGAAGTTTTCTGTACGGGAACTGCAGTGGTTGTATCTCCTGTTGGTAGCATTACTCATCAAGGGAGAAGGTATACATATTTTATGATTTGGTTTTACCCTGCTGTTGAGGATGAACTAATGCATCAGTTGATGATTCCTGTGTAATTCCTTATGTGCATGTGCATCTATTTGCGGAAATATAAGTACTTATTAGAGATTTCTTCGTGCAGGGTAACATATGGAAATGATGGTGTTGGCCTTGTGTCGCAGCAGTTATACTCTGCACTTACTAGCCTACAAATGGGGCTCTCAGAGGATAAGATGGGTTGGATTGTTGAGCTCAAATGAGCTCTCCAACCAAAGGGTTGTACTTTCCATTGATGAAAAAATGTTGACTTGGAAGTTCTCAGACACTTGTGATCCAGAGTTTATCCTTGATCATACATCCATGATGCGTGTCAAGTATATCTGTGTGTTTGATATGTATCCTTCAGCTATGAAATAGTCGTCGTTTTCACCCCAAATTTGGTGATTTAATCTAGTAAAGTCTTGTGTTCCCCTCACTGTTATTTGGTTGCTGCACAGTAAATAATTTTACCTTGGAAAGTGCCAAAACACAATATGCTTTGAACTTGGATTGTGAACGTACCCCACACACGCCCATGATTATGTGGAAGCCAAAAAAACATTTCAGTTAAGCAATTTGGTATTTCGACATCGACCAACTGAATTTTGATTACTCAAGTTTCCTCGAGTAGATTGAAAGACAACTTAACAATGACTTGAATTTATCTTGGCGACTCAAACTATTCAACCAAAAGAATACCTATTGCCTTTCTTCATTTATGAATTCTATGCAAAATTCAGATAAGCGGGATAACAATCCATACTCTTATCCTTTCCATTTGAAAGACCAACACTCTTTAAGGCACTAAATCTGGGTACAATAAAATGTGACATTACTATTATCGGTGGGAAAACAGAGAAATTTGTTGTCCTCAAAAGCAAGTTTGAATTCTTTACTGGAAAGTTGTTTATTGTTGAACTCTTTAACTCCTCTATAGTATCCGATGATGATTCCCTCAAACTAGACAAGATTCAATCAGCAATTACTATGCTAAGAATGAATAGTTAAGAGGCGAAAGGAATGAATCGCCAACGCTATCCTTAAATTGCACATGAAGTCTAAATTAACAGAGCTATAGAAGCTCCCCAACCAGGTAAAAGTAGTCAACCCATTAAACTACTTAGAATTCTCTAAATTAACATTTAGGTTAATACAAAAATGTTAACGGAGATGTTTTCCTAGAGTGAGAACCATAAATTTGCCTAAATTTTAGAGTAACGATCTTACATTTCAGTAGGCGTTTGGAAAAATTAAAAATATGATGATTGAAAGTTGAAAAAGAAAAAGATTACTTGAAAGACCAAAAGTGCATATAAGCAATTAAGCATACCCAAACAATTTTATAAGCTATTACAAACATGGGGATGAAATAAATCAACAGAATAATAGAATGCCTTGGCCTAGAAACTTACAGAACTGAGGGAAAAGCACAAATAACTCAAATTCACTCCTACATAATCACCAAAATCTTTCAGCCCTAAATTGGATTTAACACAATAAGCTGAAGAAATTAGCAGACAAAAACACAAACCACTTTGATATGATCTTTACTTACAACCACAAGCTCTTTGATAAACACTAAACATTCACAACTACTAAGAGTACCTATTCATACCATTTACAAAATACTTGAAGGGTATGAGTTAGCCTGAGACATTTACATGTTTGGGAAGCACATACAAGATCACCAAACATGGCATACCACCAGTCACGATCAGTCGTTAGATTGAAAATTACTGTAGGAAGTTCTGGATGTTTGAAATGAAGAAACAAACAGCAAATTAGATGCTCAACCGCTACTCTTCTCACATCTGGCAATCTCACTACTTCCTTGTTGCCTTAGTTCTTCGGGATCGGCCTTCAGGCTTCCCATTTTTATCCGATTGCAAGCTGCCATTGTTCCCCACCTTCCTACCACTTTCCCCAGAGAGAGTCTCCTGCAGAAGAAGTATGCTTTTATGATTCGTGTAGAACAAAACATGAAAAAAAAAAGTATATTGGGGTGACAAGGGAGGGGGGTGTTGGTAATTCAACCGCAAAAACCGACACAACTAGGATAGCATCTTCAATCCAAAGAACGCAGAGTTCTTTATCATACTTCCCTCCCAATTTAAGTGGACCTAATTTAACTGCACGCATGCAAGTTGGAGTTTTATGGTGCTTAAATGTGTGAGAAGTAGGGAAAAACTAAAATTTGTGAAAGATTTCGAACTTTCTTGGTGAGAAAATGAGCCCCACAATAACATCATTACAGTTGGATATTAAAAAAGTATTGGATATCATAGGAAAAGTTTCCTTTCTATGAGAGAAATAAAAAGGCAGCAGCCTGGTACACAATGCATCCCCCATCTAACCAGGTTCCGGGGAAGGGCCGCACCCCAAGGGGTGTGCGGTAGATAGTGTACTTTTAGAATGGAATGATAACACAAAATAGGCTGCACCTACTTTTAGTGCATACGACAAAATAAGGCTTGCCCTCTCAATCCCCAAAGAAACTCCCTACCCTTCAGATTATATAGTGAGACTCTATAAATGTGGAGGAGACCTGTTATCTAGGAGGGTTCCCAATTGAAATCTATCATTGCATCCCATGTACACTGACAATGAGGATACATGCAGAAAATAAATGCAGCTGTTGATAAATAAAATATTCCATAAATAAACGAGGAAAATATTCCATAAATAAAATTACAAAAGTTGATAATTTTAAATCATCATGAAGCTGTCGCAACACTTGCATAGCTTGAACACATAACTTTAAAGAGAATAGAGCTTACCAGACTTCCTTCCGTGACTTTTCTCACATCGATTTCTGTCACTTCATGAACTGTAACAATTTTATCAATATACACAGTGGTTTCCTCTGCAGCAATGGGAGTATGGTTGGGTAGTACTTCCAGGTGTTCAACATCTGGTGCATCTGGTGATGATGATAATGTACTAGAAAGAACCAGAAAATAAATGAAGTCAACAAACCAATATTCAAGTTCTACTTAATGACATATAGAAGGGCAAGTGAGATAACAGAAAAATGTGTGCTACTTGACAAGTCAGTTATAAGAACAGACAAATACCCGGAAGCACCATACTCGGTCAATTGAGATATAAAATGCCCATCTTCCCTCCGCCTTTTGTTACTTGGTGTACGGTCAAGCAACGTATCAGCACATCTCTTAAGCCACGAGAATGGAGTAGAGAGAGTAGAAGATGAATTTCCGTTCTCTTTCATGATTGAAGGAGTATCTTGTCTAACACCATTATTACCATTCCCATCCAGACCAGATCCCAGAACTGAGGCATGCTTCAATAATCTTTTTGCAGAAGGTTTAAGTTCATTGGATGGTAGACCAGAATGTAACTTTTTGGGTGTGGCAATACGATCTGGTATAATCTTAACATCCTCCAATTTCTTCAACTGCTCAATCTGAGCAAGAATCTCCTTCCTATCAGCATGAAGTAATTCCCTTTGTTTCTCTAATTTCAGCCTTTGCACCTTAAGTTCTTCAATAGCATTATTTAGCTCTGCCCACTCCTTATCCCTTCTCTCACGATCCAAATTGATCTCTTTTCTCTCAGCATCTAGTTTGTTCAACTCCAAGCCAACATGTTCCAATTCCTTTTCCACAGTCTCCCTGAGAGATGCAATATCCTGAAGTTCTCTTTTCTTAAGCTCCTCAAAGGCCTTCTCCTTTTCCTTAAGATCAGTTTCTATTTCTTCACGCCTTTTTTCAATGCGGTTCTCTAGCTCCTTTTTCTGCATCTCAACATCCAGCAAAAAGTTTTCGCGTTCTTTCTGAATTTTGTTAAACCATTCTGCACGTTCACTCTCAATCTCATACATGAAGGTTTCACGATCACGAGAAAGTGACTCCAGATTTTGCTTATATTCTTCTTGAATTGCATTTTTCTCTGCTTTCAGGCTGTCACGGCTATCCTTAAGAAGCTTAGAAATGGCCAATTTCTCTTCAGCCACACGTTCAGCTTCCTTCTGCAACTCTTCTCTTTTCTCATCAATTACCTCCCATTCAGTCTCAAATTTAGCTTTCTCAGCTTTCAACCGATCAGCCTCCATTTCAATTTCCTCCTTCTCCGCTCTAATCATATCAATCTCTAGCTTTAGCCTTGTTTCCAGAATCAGCAATTCTTGAGTTTCATTTTTCATAGCCTCCACTTTTTCTTCCTCATGGTCGACGCATTTTCTTTTTTCATCCAGCATTTTCAGAGACTTCTCAAGATCATTTCTCATTTTGCTGATCCCTTCCCTTTCTTGCTGCAGAACTGTTCTCTGCAACTCTACCTCTTTTTCAGCAGCTTGGAGGTTTCTTTCTTTTTCCTCAATCACATGTACCTTGTCTTCCAACTCTTTCTCCTTCTCAGCTAGGGTTCTTGACTGCCTCTCTAAATCATATTCCTTGTCAGTAATTAGGTCCTCCCGAGACTTAATATCCATATCTTTCAACTCCCAAGCCCGCCTCTTGGTTTGGATCTCATCTTCCACCAATTTCCGTTTTGTTTCCAACTCTGCCTCGATAGAAGATATCTTAGTTACCAATGTGGCCTCCTGATTAACCATAACCTGCTTACTGTCATCCTGCATGGTTCACCATAGTAAGAAGATAAAGGGATCTAAAAGTAAAGGATAAAATCACAGTTCTCTTTTGTGCCAAAACTTACAATCTCCTTGCTTTGCATTTTCCCCTGTAATAGCAGTAGCTCTTCCTCTTTCTCATTAAGTTTGTGTTCCCTTTTGATTATGCCCTATGAAGTATACAGCAATTGCTTAAATGAATTCCTCAATATCCTTCATCATAAAAAAATCATATGCATAATAAGCACAACATTATGAAACAAACAAAGAAAGAGGCTCACTTCTTCTCTTGCTGATAGAGACTTCAGTTTCACCTCCAGATTGCGTTTTTTCTCATTCAGGGATTTGATGTCATTCTCCAAGTTTGATTTTTCATCTTCTAAGTCTTTCTCATGTCTGTTCAGTTCTTGAGATCTGCTAAATATAAATTCTTCTCTCTTATTGAGCAAAGCCTGAGCATCAAGTAACTCTTCTTGAGACCGCTGTAGGGTTTTCAGTCTTTCAGATAAAGATTGTCTCTCCAGTTGGATCTCTTTCTCTTTAGCTTCACAACTGACAGATCAAAAGAAAGCAACTTAATCATGTGCATGAGGATAGTAATATCACAAGTGGCTCCATAGAGGATATCTTCATTCTTACCTACACTACCTAAAGATATGATCATTCTTCAATTAGTTGAGAGGAACAACAAAATTGATCCTTTGGTGTGGAAAATTCACATAATTAAATATCTAAGTGTCAATAAACATGAATGCATAATCCCTCTTTTTAGGACAAGAAATGCTATTAGTAATAAAAATTAGCACCAAGTGGGTAAAGAAAGTAACCATATCAAAAAAAAA